CCAGCTATTCCCCTGCTGGGGATCTTCCCCAAAGAATTAAAAGAATCATACCACAGTGATATATGTGCACCCATGTTCATAGCTGCACAATTTGTAATAGCTAAAACTTGGAAACAGCCCAAATGCCCATCAACAGGAAACTGGATAAAGAATATGTGGTTTTTAAAAATAAAATGGAGTACTACTCAGCCATCAAATATGAGAAATTAGAGACATTCATTGCTAAATGGATGCACACTGAGGCAATACTATTAAGTGAAATAAACAGGACACACACGTGTACATACCGAGTAATTTCTCTAGTGTGAGAAACTGAAAGTGTAAATAAGGACCAAAAGGTATAATACATCATGTGAAATAGGAAGAAAAGGGGCAAAGGGGAGGGGGAAGTGGGAGGGGTAGGGGAAAGGAAAGAGGAGAATGGAATTAATATGAGAAAATGAAAAAATGGAAACAAAATCTTTGTAAATAGGGAGGGATGGAGGTGTTGAAGGGAGGGTAGGGGATGGGGAAAAAATAAGAACCAAGAGAGTATGTAAAGGTGCTTATCTCCAATGATGAATGTCATTATGTTGTACACCTAAAATGTACCAATGAAAGGATATACAAAAAGAAAAAAAAAGAACGGTTTAAACTTGACTCCCTCAATTTTGTTGAAAATTTCCAGGGAGAGGGAAGATAGTAGGAGAAAAGGAAAGGAGGATATCCCCTATTTAACCCCATGTAGAAATGAATTTTACATCACACATATTAATTTAGAAGCTAACAATATAGAACAGGAAGAGATTATCACGTGTAGCACACCAGTTTCAACCTGGCATTTTTTAAAGGTACACAATTCCATTAACAAGAATCTCACTAGGGCTGGGGATTTAGCTCAGTGGTTCCAGCGCCTGCCTCGCAAATCCAAGGTCCTGAGTTCGATCTCTGGTACCAAAACCTCCCCCAAAAACCAAGAATCTCACTCTGATAAAAAATCTGTTCCATCTGATTTTAGTTTGTTCTGAAAGATAACGATGTCCAGCAACGTCACTTCTGAAAATTTAAAAAAAAAATAAGTTAACACTTAAAATGGCCTACAACCCCAGCGGATATCCCCATCAAGAAATGCTACTGAAGGTGGAAACTTCTAACAACCTCCGATTTGGGGCTGATATCTGCAAAATCGCGTTGGATTGTAAAAAGAATATTTACACAGATAAAAGATCACTGTCATTTTCTGATTTCCAAGTCATTAATAAGCCTGATTGCTTGGGTGTGAGAACCCTAAATATTACTTTTTTAACGGCTCCTATTAAAGCGTCACAGCAAAAGATCCAAGCCCCACCTTCCCATTAGCCTGATCTTTTAAACCCACTCCGTAGTTAAACACAAATCCGCAGCGGTCTTGCCGACGCGGCTCTCAAGGGCGACAGGTCTTGCGCGGCTTCTACTGCCACCCTCTCCTTCCTTTCCTTCCCTCCCTTCCTTCCTCCACTCCACGTCTGAGCTGGAGATAAAAAAGTGCTGCCATCCCCCTGGGTCTGTCCCTGCAGAGCTCTGGACCTGAGAGCACTGCTCAGCACTGCAGACTCCTTAACGACTCCGTCTAGCGCGCAAGGAACCAAGCCAGGACCTTCACGGATGGACACTCCGGAGCAACGGGGCCTCAAGACCGTGGCAGGACTGACAGCCGCAGAACCCTGAGGCCCGGGCAGGTCCGGTCCCCTCCAAACCCGGAAGGACTCCAAGCAGGGGCGGGACGCAGGAATGAAGGAACCCTGCCCCAGTTCCAAGCTTCCTAGAAGACCCCGCCTCCCAGACCCCGCCCCACCCCCCGAGCCCCCCCCCGAGGGGGAGGGGCAGGGAATGAGAAAGGAGACTCCATCCCCCTCCCCCTTGGAGGACGCGCGCACCCTAGGAAAGAGCAGCTGTTCCTCCCCTCCCCCTTCGGGACCCCAGGCCGCGCTGCAGAACCAGGGGTGCCGGGGCCGCGGGGAGTCGCACCTTGCGCTTGCGGGCCTCTGTCGTGCCGCTCCACACGAAGCACTGGTAGATGGCCCGCAGGTTCTGCTTCCAGTTGTCCACCTTGAAGCTGCTCAGGTGCGAGCAGCCCGGCGGTGCCACCGCCAGCTCGGCGTCCATCGCCTCGCCCTCCGACTCGGGCCGGGAGACCATGGAGGGCAAGGCCCGGCCGCGTGCGGGGGCTGGCGGCGAGGGGGGCGAGGACGACGCCAGCGCGGCGGGTCTGCTCGAAGGCGCAGCGAGCAGGCCGAGGCACGGACGCCTGGAACAAAGCGCAGCGGGCGCTGCGGGCGGACAAAGACTGCGCTGCGTGAACCCAAAGGAAAGGCGTAGGCGATCCAGGCACCGCCCCCCGAGCTGCGGCCCGCGCTACGCAATCCCGCTTCGCGCAGGCCAAGGTGGGTGGGGCAATGTGGGCGGAGATCACGTCATTTCTGGCTGGGTGGGCGCGAAGCAGCGCAGGCTCTGGCCTCGTCTCTGCCCCGTCTGGGCCCCTCTTCGTAGGCCCGAAGGCTCCCGGGAGATCCGGGCTGTGGAGGGGGTGGAACCAACAAGCCCCCCACACCATGCACCTTGTCATTGGTTATACGGCAGTTTGAGGAACCTCCGGCCGCTGTCATAGGCTGACTATACAGTCCATCTAGTTCAGAGCCATCTCACGGGACACTGGAGTCTTGACGTTCCTAGTCACCAAGAACTGGGAACTTCAGGGCATACAAAGGATTGGGTAAGGCAGGATGTCAGTCAGGATACAGAACCGGTTTATACTGGCTGAGCCCTGCCGCAAAGAGGCGGGGCGACGGACTGGCGGGGGTGGGGGGGGTGTCTTAGCTGCTAAGCCTTCCCTTTCCCACCTGAGACTTGCTTCTCTTGTCCACAGTCAGTTGTTTTCGCGGCAGGAACTCCATATCTGGGGACTTTCTGCCTGGCTCTGCCACCTTCGTAGCCTACGTCAGGTAATACAGTACCACAGCTATGGATTGCAGTGGCCAGTTAGTATCAGCTTGGCGCTTCTGCAAAGACGCAAGTTGCGGTTCCTCCCTGCCGAACTCCCGCAGCCCGCTGAAGGTCCACCTCAGTGCTATCCAGTTAAAAAATGCAAACCAAATACCTAATTTTAAATTTTTTACTGGATACATTTTTAAAAACCTGAAAAAGCAAAACCAGCAAGTGAGGTTATTTTTTTTGGTTTTTAACCCATTGTAGCCAGAATATCAGTTAAACACGTGCAGTGTTGTAAAATTGTCACTGAAATATTTCACAATCTAAGTCTACCGAAATCTAGTATGTTATACTTAAAACATTTAATTTATACTGGCCACATTTCAAGTCTAGCAGCTACTGTGTTGGACACCACTCCCTGGGTTCACTCCCCAAAACAAAAAATATTTTTGTGTGTAGGTCACAAGTAAATAAACCATAGGAAAGTACAGGTAATATACTGACATTTACTGACACGTATAAGAAAATAATACTATGGATGGGCATATACTAAAGATTGGGTAAAAATCTAGAGGAAACAAACCAACCTAGCCAGAACTTCTGGTAAGATAAAAGTAAACTTGGCTAATTGTATAAATACTGGATTTTTATTACAATCAGAATCATATTGTTTTATACATAAGGTCACTTAAACTAAGAAGAAATAACATGATATAAATGACTGCAAAGTTTCAGATCCAAAGAAAGAAAATGATCAAGTTTACACTGTTCTCCAACATCTAGAAAACAGTCCAAAAGTTTCATTTATGCACTTACTCGGATCTACCTAAAAATCAAGTTGGGCTACTAAATTAGTCTTTACTCCACCATGTACAATCTGTGTGACCTTAGAAGGTCTTATTAGCCCATTTACTTATTTGTTAAAATTGGAGCTATATCAGCTTAAAGACTACATTAAAGGCTTGTGGCAAAAAATAATTCATACAACGCTTTTTACTGGGCATAGTGGTACATGCCTGTAATCCTAGCATTTAAGATGCTGAGCCAGGTGCGTCACCAAGGGTTCAAGGCCAGCCTGAATTCCATAGCAAAACCCTATCTCAAAAAACCCAAAACCACAAAAAAAACCCCAAAAACAAATCTTCTCTTGCATGACTTGTTTACTAAGGGCTCAGAAAACATTAGCAATTGTTGGTCTGGTAGCTGCTGGAAATTATGATGAGACAATTTCATACTTCAAAAATCCCACAATATAATGGGACTAGCAGCAACACTGCATACATAACCAGGCGTCTTAGTCCATTTTGTACTGTTACAATAGTGACTTAGTTACTTTTCTCAATGCTGAGACAAAATACCCAACACCCAGTTAAAGAAAGAAAGGTTTATTTTGGCTCACAATTTATAGATGTTTCAGTCCATATTTAGCTGGCTCTAAGGCAGAATGCATGGCGCAGGGGCATTGCAGAGGAAGAAGTAGTCCAAAGCATTGAAGGGCAGGCAGAAGTCAGGAAGCAGAAGTCTGCCTCTCCCTTTTATCCCTTCCAGGATACCCACCTTTTGGGTGGTGCTACCCACACCTAGGGTGGGCCTTCCCATTATCTGCACCCAGAACTATGCTAAATCAATCATTGGATTAGTTTAGTGACTACAGACCCTTAATCTCAGCATCACACACTCTAGGTTCAGCCACCTTGGAAAAGCCCCACCTGTGACCACATGAGGCTTTGGGGAGACATCTAGATATAAGCTATTACAAGTTATCCCACAGCAGGGTAACATAAAAAACAGATTTATTTCTTACAATTCTGGAGGCTTGGAAGTCCAAGGGGCTGGCATTTAGTGTGGCTCTTCTTCCCAAGTAAGCTCATGGCAGAAGGTGAAAGGGCAATAAGGGAGAGACAAAGATTGGGGCCGGAGACAAGGAAGAAGAAAAAGGTCAAATTCATACTTTTATTGGAGACCCAATCCAAGAGAGCTTAACAGGTCCCCCAAGTTGAACCCCTGCCCAAGCAGACCCACTACCCGCATCCACAGGAGCACAGACATAACAGGAAGACAGCCACCACCCTGTTGCTCTCACCACCGGCCTGTTTATCAGTCAGCCCAGGCCCATCGCCCATGGGACTAAAATTTTCCACCTTCTTGACCAGTCCCTCCCTTACCTAAAATTCCCTATATCAAACACGAGCACCCTCATCTCAGTGCCAATGGCCTTCTCGCCCTTGGCCCATCTGCACCCAGATGGCGATAAACTCATTGCATGTTGCTAAGACTTTGCCTGCCTCGGTGGTCTCAATCGTGCCTTGGTCTGACCTTACACAGCTAACCAACTACTATGATAACATTAATCAATGCATGAGGGCGGCCAATGAAAAGGAAGATAATAAAGACCAGGCTCAGAAAGTTTCCATTGGGAACAAAGACTATTGGCAGTTTGTCTCAAGCCATGAGTATTGTGCTCTGATATAAAATTTGTCTACGTTTTGCTCATGTCTTGAGACTTTGCTGGAAACTGAGATTAAGGACATCAGGCTAATTAATCTGGTGGAGAAAATTTTAAGGCAGTCTGATGTTCAGGCTGTGGCATGGTTACTTCTGGTAGCTTTTAGCCAGAGTTATTCAGGAAATCAACAGCAAACAGCAGTTGAATGATTTTAAAAGTCTTGGGTTTGGCCAGAAAGAAAGTTCCAGTAAAGTTGAGGCCTGTGAAGTTGCATAAGAGAACTTGATTACTAAAAAGATTAGCATAAAAATGCCAAGTACTTTGGATCAGGACAACAGAAAATAGGGACAACAGGGCATCATAGGAAACAGCAAGGCCCCACCTTTCCCAGGCTCAAAATAGCAAAAGTAAAATATTTGGTTTGAGAAGTGAGCCCCAGGGCACCATGCTTGAAAAAGGCAACCTAGGAAATTGGTTTTCTGGGATTCGACTCCTCAGTGTTCAGGCATCCAAGGACTTGGAAGCCTCCATAGCTATGATTCAAGTGAAGCCTGACTACTGCTTGAGCTGGTGGCAGACCTTGGAATCATCCACCTGTTAATGGTTTTACAGACATGCAGAATGCAAAAGTTGTGGGTCAAGGAAGCTTCCACCTGAATTTTATTTTATTTTTTCCCATTAAGTTTATTGGTACATTTTAGCTTTACAATACAGTTATATTCATCATTGGGATCTTGAACCTTTACATGATGTATCTTGGTTTTTATTTTCCCCCATTCCCCTGGCCTCCCTTCACCCCCTCCACCCTTCCCTGTTTACAAAGACTTTATTCCATTTTTTCGTTTTCTCATATTTTTTCTTTTCCCTTCTTTCCTTTCCCCTACCCCTCCCACTTCCCCTACTCCTTTAGACCTTTTCTTCCTGTTTCATATTATCAGTTATACATTTTGATCCTCATTTACACTTTTAGTTTTTCACACCAGAGAAACTGTTCAGTATTTAAACGTTTGTCCTATTTATTTCATTTAAGAGTACAGTCTCAATGTGCATCCATTTAGCAATAAATGTCTCTACTTTCTCGTTCTTTATGGGTGAGGAATACTCCATTTTATAAAAAACCCCACATCTTATTTATCCAGTCTCCAGTTGAAAGGCACTTGGGTTGTCTCCAAGTTTTAGCTATTACAAACTGTGCTGCTATATACATGGGTTTACATACATCACTGTGATATGATTCTTTTAATTCTTTTGGGAAGATACAGAGCAGAGGAATAGCTGGGTCAAATGGGACCTCTAATCCTAGTTTTTTTTGTTTTTTTTTTTTTTGGTACCAGGGATTGAACTCAGGACCTTGTGCTTGCAAGGCAGCTGGTGGCACCACTGAGCTAAATCCCTGGCCCTAATCCTAGTTTTTTGAAGTATCTCCACATTGATTTTCCACAGTGGTTGCCCCAGTCTGCACTCCCACCAACAATGAAGAAGGGTCCCTTTCTCCCTCCAACCCGACCAGCATTTGTTATTGGTTGATTTCTTGATAGCAGGCATTTTTCTGGGGTGAGGTGGAATCTCAATCTTGTTTTCATTTGCAATGATCAGTGATGTTGAACATTTTTTTCACGTGTTTACTTGCTGCTTTTATTTCTTTATCTGAGAAAAGTCTGTTCATTTTAGATGCCCACTTTTGAATTGGGTCTCTAAATTTTAGGGGTCTGATTTTTTAAAGTTCTTTTTATAGTCTAGATAGTAGCCCTTTGTCTGAGGAACAGCTGGTAAAAAAATTTTCTTACATTGTAGGTTGTTTCTTAGCTCTGTTGGTGGTTTCTCTTGCAGTGTAGAAGGTTTTTAATAAGATGAGATACCAGTTGTTGATTTTCTGTGCTAGTTCCCATGCTACTGAGGTTTTCTTTATACAGTCATTTCCTATGCCAGTATCTTTAAGAGTTCTGCCTAACCTATCTTCCAGCAAGTTTAGTGTTTCTGTTTTAATATTTAGATCTTTGATCCATTTTGATTTTGGTTTAGTGCATGGTGAGAGATATAGGTCTAGTTTTAATCTTTGGCAAGTTGAAACCCAATTTTTCCAGCACCATTTATTAAAGAGGCTAT